GATTTTGATCTTCTTGAATTTGTTGAGGCTTGCTTTGTGGGCTATGATGTGATCTATTCTGGAAAACGTTCCCTGTGTACTTGAAAAGAATGTGTATTCTGCTGCTTTAGGATGGAATATTCTGAATATATCTGTTAAACCCATCTGTCCAGTGTATCATTCAAAGCCCTTCTTTTCTTGTTGATATTCTGTTTAGAACATCTGTCCATTAATCTAAGTCAGGCGTTAAAGTCCCCTTCGACTATTGTATTATTATCGATTACTTCCTTTGTGCTTGTTATTCACTGTGTTATGCATTTGGGTGTTCCCATGTTGGGTGCATAAATATTTACAATTGTTATATCTTCTTATTGGCGTGTCCTCTTTATTATTATATAGTGTCCTTCTTTGTGCCTTGTTGTAGGCTTTTTCTTTTTTAATCGTGCTATGATAGTCTCCATACAGTTCCTCATTAGTTTTTGATGTAGTGTTCATGATTCATTATTTGCATATAACACCCAGTGCTCATCACAACACATGCCTTCCTTAATACCCATCACCTGGCTCCCCCATCCCCCACCCCCTCCCCTCTGAAACCCTGAGATTGTTTCCTGGAGTCCATAGTCCCTCATGGTTCGTCTCCCCCTCTGATTCCCCCCCTTCAGTCTTCCGTTCCTTTCCCTAATGTTCTCCATGCTATTCCTTATGATCCACATATGCGTGAAACCATAAAGTTTAGTTTGTCTGGTACAAGTATTGGTACTCCAGCTTTATTGTGACATGCATAGGCACGATGGATGTTTCTCCATCTTCTCACTTTCCAACTGCAGCTGTTTTTAGGTCTAAATGAGTCTCTTATAGGCAGCATATAGATGAGCCTTTTATTCTCTAATCCATCCTGTCGCCCTATGTCTTTTGGGATTGGAGCATTGAGTCCATGTACATTCAAAGTAATTATTGATAGATATGTATTTATTGCCATTTTATTACCTGATTTGTGGTTGTTTCTGAAGAGTTTCTCTGATCTTTTCTTGTCTTTCTCTCTTTTGTGTTTTGCTGATTTTCTTTAATGATGTGTTTGGATTCCTTTCTCTTTATTCTTTGCCTATTTATTAGCGGTTTTTGATTTGTGGTTACTGTTAAGTTTGTATATAAACTCTTCTGTATATAGCAATCTATATTATGTTGATGGTCACAAATTTTCCTTTATCACTATATTTTGCCAATTTATACATATGTCTTCGCGTGGGTCTGTTTCTTTTGATTTTAATGGGAGTTCCCTGTGCCCCGTGGATATGGATGTCTGCCTCTTTCCCCAGGTTAGGGAAGTTCTCAGCTAGGATTTCTTCAAAGAAAGGTTCTGCCTCCTTTTCTCTCGCTTCTTCTTCTGCGACTCCTATAATGTGAATGTCATTACATTTGATGGAGTCCCTGAGGTTCTTAAGTCTATTCTTGTTTTGCATAATTCCTTTTTATCTCTGTTGTTCAGCTTGATTGCTTTCCATTACTCTGTCTTCTAGGTCACCCATTCATTCCTCTGCTTCGTCCATCCTGCTGTTCACTCCATCAAACCTGTTTCTAATTTCACTTACTGAGCCCTTTATCTCTGCTATGTTACTCCTTATCTCTCTGTTAACCCTTATCATGTGTCTCACTCATGTCTTCCACACTTTTCCTAAGTTCAGTGAGTATCTTTACTGATCGTTGCTTTAAATTCTCTATCAGGCCTGTTACTTACATCTGTTTGGCTTAGATCTCTGGCCGTGGCCTCATCCCCTTCTTTCGTATGGGATAAATTCTCTGTCTTCACGTTTTGTCTGCCTCTCTGTATCTGCTCCTGCGTGTTACAAAAGTCAACTACGTCTTCTGATCTTGGAAGTAGCAACTTTAGGAAGAAGTAGTCCCAGAGTGCCCTTCAGTACAGTGTCCCCTGTTCACCAGAAGCTGGCACTTCAGGAGAATATCCTATGTGTGTTGCTTATGCCCTGCTGTTGTGTCTGAGTCACTTTCCTTTCAGTGCAGTCATCTGCACTGACTCTCTGCCTGTTGTGGGCTGTGCTGCTTCGCTGTGGTGTTACTGGGACCCAGGCCGGCCAGCTCTGGGAACAGGGGGGGGATGTGCCTATCAGGGACCTTGGGAGCAAAATGTGCATTGAGCCACTAGTCCTATGCCAGATTCCCCCAAGTGCTGTGGCGCCTGTGTCTGTGCTTGTGGTTGGCCAGTGGCATGAGGCTGGGAGTGGCTGGAGGCAATGGCTGGGTACAGCTGGGCCCCACCCACAATGGTGGCTGCGGGTGCATGGCTGGGCAAGGAATGACAGCTGGGCACGGATCTGCACCTGGGGCAGGGAAGCAGCTGTGCACCCAGTGGCTGGGTGTGGTATGCACTGCTTTAACAAAATTTGCCCTGAACCAAGAGCTAAGCCCAGCAGGCCTGGAGTGGGTAAGTCCTCAGGAGAGCTGGTGGGCATGACACACTGCTAGCACCTTAGGTAGCAAGTGTCCATGCAGTGCTCAGATGGCCCTGTATTTATGCTAGGGGGCAGGGGAGGAAAATAGCCTCTGCAACTCCTCCTTCTTCAGGGAGGTCCCCCACCACGCTCCAAAATCAGTATGAACAGTTCCGTCTCCTGTTTACCCCTGGCATGGTGCAAACTGCCGTTTTTAAGTTGCCCATCCACACAGGCTTCTCTCTCTTTAAGGGTGGCGACCCAGCTGTCACTCGCCCTCCTGGCTTGCCCAGTGTGGAGTCAGCTGACTTTCAAAGCTCCAGGCACCAAGTCCCACTGGTTATACAAACTCATGGTATTCAGCCCTTCTGGTTTCCACAGCCAAAGAGTATGGGTATTATTCTCCCCCATGTGAGCTCCCTGGTGCGAGGGACAATTTCTCTGCCCTCTCCCCATGCTTAGCTCCCTCCTTCCTGCGGGCAACCTCCCTCCACGTTACTGACCTTTTTAACCTTTCAGATGCAGCTTCCTCCCTATATTTAGTTGTGGGGTTTGTTCTTCCAGTCCTTGGGTTGCTCTCTGGTTTATTTAATTTTTCTGGATGATATCTAGTTTTAAATGTGGGACGAGGTGAGCTCAGGCTCCTCCTACTCTGCCATCTTCCCAAGCTCCTCTGGATTCACGGTCTTAAAATGACTTTTTAAATAATATGATATGTATGAGACCAATGTGAATGAACAACTGAAAAACCACTGTAAGTCATGTGGACAAAAAGGGCCTTTTGAACCAGCAGCAATCAGCATGATAGAAATTAACTGACTTAGAGAAACAGGATTTTATTTTTCTAAATGGTTACAGTCCTTTCTCTGAAAAAGCATATGGCTCCGAAAAGAGATTTTGGCTTCAAAAATTCAGTTCCCAATGTAAATGGCAATTTCTAAGGACCACCCACAGGGATTTACTGGCACTTCATTTTCTCGTAGCTTTCCTTGGGTATTTATGCACCAAGTCCCCCATCCCTTTCCATATCCCTTTGGCTTTATCTCTCGTTTAATGGGCTCAAGAAAAGGTTGGATTGCTGTAGTTTACCTAGCTTTTGTCTCACTCTTCGGCTCAGAGTGACACCATTAACCGGCTTCTACATTAAAATCAAAGGTCATTTAGAATTTAAGAGTGCACATGGAACACAAACCAAACATAACAAAATAGTGGGATTTCGTACAACCTGTAACAAATTTCAAAGGATTGAAGCCCCCCCACCCCAGCCCTACAGTTTGTTCTCCCTTCACAAATATATAGGACGCTAGAAATCAATAAAATGGAAAGCACTTGGATAATCACCAACCACTTTGAAATTCAGCATGTACCTATAGGAAAAGGAAACAATCAAAGGAAAAAAGTCCATGCGCCAAGAAAAAAAACACAATGAGTGTTAAAGGGCATTACCATTATCCTATGTCCTCCTAACCATCAAATCACTTGAGGTAGAGGAATGAGTCGCCTTAGTTCTCTTAATTGCCAAGCAGCCTCCGCTTATTTTGATGCAAAATGATAGGGACAAGTCCCACTGTGACATCTGCATGTTGACACTTCCACCACCCTGGTTCAAAGGAAGCACTTCAACAGAAACCCACAGGCAGACATGTCAACGATCACGTCACCTTGCCCGTCAATCTCTAGGCACAGGAAGGCTATTATTGGTTCAACCCTGGTCACCCCACCACCCATTGGGCTAAAGGCCGTGGATCCTGCGCTGCCAATTGCTTATTGGCGGCTGCCAGCGGAGGCTGGGAGCACAGCTGCTCTCATTGGACGACCCCGTCATCCAGGCGTAATTGCCGGGCAGGAAGGCTTTTGTGTCAAAATGGAAAGATGGTAAGCTACCAAGGCAGAGAATCAGATAAATTTGAATGAAGTAAATTATGCCTTTCTTTTTTTATTTCATTTTATTTATTTATTTATTTATTTATTTATTTATTTATTTATTTTTATTTTATTATGTTAGGTTAATCACCTAATGTAGGGCATTCACAAGGTCGGGAGCTTGAGTAGGGCACGTGTCTAGATAGGTTGAGTTTTCTGCACGGTGTTTGTGTCCTCTTTTATGTATTTAAGTGAAATAGGATGAGGGGATACTTTGAGGGAATGTGAATGGGGTAAGGGTGAGTTTTGTATCTGCTACAGTGCTTCACTTGTTGCATTATAAGCACACTCGGAAATTATAAGACACTACTCGACACAAGTTGGAGAAGGAGAATACAAAAGGCAAGTAAAATTATTGTGGACCCACCTGTGACCATAAAGATTTCCGAAGGCACTGACCTGAAGGAATGGGCCATTTAGGAATGTGATAAAATGCACCAGGGTCAAGGGAAATCATAAAAGACTGCCCAAACACATATATTAAAGGGACTTGCTCACGGTAAAGGTGTTTTCACTATGGGCAGAATGGCACAGGTCCAAATGCTAGAGTAGGTGACACTCTGGAGATATACAGGGCTCTTGTGCCAAGTTAGGTGGCTCTGAAAAGAACCTTTGTTTTGCGAGGTGGTCAGGCGGTCCAGAGGCAGCTCATTCGCGTCTGTTGAACATGATGACGGCCTTGGTGGCCTCGGACACAGCGTGCTTGCCAATCTCCCCGAGCAGCAGCAGGCACACGGCTGTCTGGATATCCCTAGTGGTGATGGTGGAGCGCTTGGTGGAGCAGGCCAGACGAGAGGCCTCCTCGGCGATGTGCTCGAACATGTCCTTGACGAACGAATCCATGACGCTCACGGCCTCCTGCAAGAGGCTCAGGCCGTCGTGAACATGCCTCTCAGAACACTGGCGAAGTAGGTGGCTTAACTGTCGGGGCGGCGGCAGCAATGGGGGCGACCTCCGCACCTCAGCTGCTTCTGCTTCGGGCTCTTTGGGTCTGCTGCCGTGGGCTCCTCGGTGCCGAGGCTTTTCTCAGAAGAGGTCTCACAGCCAGGTTCAGCCATGTGGGGCTCCCCTTCCCGACAGCTCAGAAGGAAGGGCACTGACGGCGGCTTGAGGGGTGCCGCCCATTTATAGTCGCTGCATTTCCTGAAGTCACTGGCAAGTCCTATCTGATTGGACGAAATGCAAAGACAAGAAGCGAGTCACTGAGCCAAGCCTTGTCAGATCTAATTGCTTCCCTCAAGCTTGACATCGAAATCAGGCGGCTTCTAATTTTCTTGTGGCGGCCGCCAGAAATAGGTTCAAACATTCCATGTAAAGGTGTACTTTACCTCCAGATGTTGGGTCACGTTCTTAGGGTTGTGAAATACAGAGCAACAGCAAGCTCTGTGCTGAGGTTGGACCCCGCTTGGGAATCGCTCCCTCTCCCCCTGCCCATTCCCCTATTCCCCTCCCTGTCTCTCTGACTCACCTTGGAAAAAACATTTCCATATTGGAAATCTGGAGGAAACTACACCTTTACATGCAATGTTTGAACATTTTTCTAGTGGCCGTCACAAGAAAATTAGAGGACGCCTGATTCCGACTCTGACTGAAGAGACGTCAAGCTCGACGAGGGCAAGCAGTCAGATCTGACAAGACCTGGCTCAGTGACCTGCTTCTTAGAGTTGCATGCTGTCCAATCAGATAAGACTTGCCGGTGATGTCAGGAAATGCAGCGACTATAAATGGGCCCTTGCTGCTCAAGCCACCGTCAGTGCCCTTCCTTCTGAGCTGTCGGGAAGGTGAGACCCACATGGCTGAACCTGGCTGTGAGACCTCTTCTGAGGAAAGCCTTAGCACCAAGGAGCCCACAGCAGCGGACCCGATGAGCCCGAAGCAGAAACAGCCCAGGCACGGAGGCTGCTGCCGGGGTAGTAGCCGCGGCTGCCACCGCCTTGTCTGCCGCCGGCGCCGCCACTGCCCCGACAATTTCGCCACCTGCTTCTCCAGGCTTCTGAAGCATGTTCACGAGGGCCTGAGCCTCTCACAGGAGGCTGTGAGCGTCATGTATTCGTTCGTCAAGGACATCTTCGATCGCATCGCCGAGGAGGCCTGTCGCCTGGCCCGCTTCACCAAGCGGTCCACCATCACCACCAGGTATATCCAGACAGCTATGCGCCTAGTGCTCCCTGGGGAGATTGGCAAGCACGCCATATCCGAGGCTATGAAAGCCGTCATCAGGTTCTACGGACGCAAATGAGCTGCCTCCGGACTGCCAGACCGCCTCGCAAACCAACGGCTCTTTTCAGAGCCACCTTACTTGGCACAAGAGACCTGTAACTCTCCAGAGACCCATCTATTCTAGCGTTGGATCTGTGCCATTCTGCCCGTTCTTTTTTTTTTTTTAAAGACTTTTTTATTTATTGAGAGAGCCATAATGAGAGAGAGAGTGCATGAGGGGGGGACGGTCAGAGGGAGAAGCAGGCTCATTGCTGAGCAGGGAGCCCAATGTGGGACTCGATCCCAGGACTCCAGGTCATGACCTGAGCCAAAGGCAGTCGCTTAACCAACTGAGCCATCCAGGCACCCCTGCCCGTTCTTAAAACACCTTTGCTGTGAGGAAGTCCACTTTAATATATGTGTGTGGTGCAGTCTGTTATGATTTTCCTTGACCATGTTACATTTCATCACATTCCTAAGTGGCCCATTCCTTCAGGTCAGCGTCTTTGGGATTCTTTACAGTCACAGCTGGGTCCACAATAATTTTAATTGCCTTTTGTATTCTCCTTCTCCCACATGTGCCAAATACTATCCTATAGAGAATTTCCGAGTGTGTTGATACAGCAACAAGTGAAGCACTGTAGCAGATACAAAACGCTCACTTACCCCATGCACATGCCCTCAAAGTATCCCCTTATTCTAATTCAGTTAAATACATAAAAGTGGACCCAAACACCGTGCAGAAAACTTAATCAATCGAGAATCATTACCCTATTCCATCTCTTGACCTTGTGAAAGGTGATTAATGTAACAAAAAATAAATATAAATAAATAAATAGATAGATAGATAGATAGATAAATTAGTAAATAAATAAAATAAAATAGTAAGACATACTTCACTTCCTTCAAATTTATCTGATTCTGTGCCTTGGTAGCCTACCATCATTCCCTTTTGACAAAAAAGGCTTCCTGCCCTGCAATTATGCCTGGATGATGGGTTAGTCCAAAGAGAGCAGCTGTGCTCCCAGCCTCCACTGGCAGCAGCCAATAAGCAACTGGCAGCTCAGAATGCACGGCCATTGGCCCAAAGTTTGGTGGGGTGACCAGGGCTGCACAAATAATAGCCTTCCTGTGCCTGGAGATTGAGGGGTAAGGTGGTGAGATCGTTGACATATCTGCCTGTGGGTTTCTGTTGAAGCGTTTCCATTTAACGAGGGTGGTTGATGTTTCAACATGCAGATGTCACAGTGGGACAAATTAATGATATCAGGAAAACAATTCAAGAACAAATCTGAGAAGTTCAACAAAGAGACAGAAAAAGAACTAACCTGAAAATTTGAAACTGAAGAACACAATGAACTGAAAAATTCAATAGAGAATGTCAACAGTAGACTTGAATGAGCAAAGGGGAGACTCAGTGAGCTCGAAGACATATCAATTGAAATTATACAACTAGAAATGAAAAAAGAAAAAAAACAATGAAAAGAAATGAAGAAAGCCTATGTGAGTTATGGGATACCATCAAAAATAATAATGTAGGAATCATTGGCACCCCAGAAGGAGAAGAGAGGGAAAAAGAGTACAAAGCTTACTGAAAGAAATCATGACTGAAAACTCCACAAACATGGGGAGAGATGTGGACATCCAGGTTCAAGATGCTAATAGGTCACTTCAAAATTACAATCCAAAACATGCTTCACTGAGACACATAACAATCAAATTGTCTAAATCCAAAATCAAAGAGAGAGTTCTAAAAGCAACAAGAGAAAAAAATTTTTTCTCTCATACAAAGGAAGCCCCATAAGTGTATCGGTGGATTTTTCAGCAGAAGCCTTAAAAGCCAGGAGAGGATGGGATGATTGATATATTCAAACAGCTAAAAGAAAGAAACTGCCCGCCAAAAATACCTGACCCAGCAATGCTGTCCTTCAGAATTGAGGTGAAATAAAGACTTTCCTTAATAAATAAGAGCTGAGGGAACCTGTCGTGACTAAACCTGGATCGCAAGAAATGCCAAAAGGAGTTCCTCAAGCTGAAAGAAAAGGACACTAAATGGTAACACCAAATATATGAAAATATACAACACACTGGTAAAGGTAAGCATATAGTCAGATTCAGAATACCCTAATACTGTGAATGCGGAGAGGGGCTGACCGGGTAACCTGAGAATAAAGGATAAAAGATAAAAGTATTGAAATCTGCTGTAATATCAACAAAGTGTTAATCGATATGCACACAAACACACATAGACAAACACGTAAACAATGATATAAGAAAAGTAAAAGGAAGGGCAATAACAGAATGGAGTTGGGGTTGTGACCAAAGTTAAGCTGTTGTCAGTGTAAAAGAGAATATTATACCTACAGGATGTTGTATGTAAACCTCACGGGAGTCACAAAGCAAGGATCTACCATAGATACACAAAAGGTAAAGAGAGAGGAATCAAAGCACACCAGTATGGAAAATGGTCAACTTACAAAGGAAGTCAACAAGAAAGGAAGAAGTGAAAAGTAGAATTACAAAACAGCCAAGAAACAAATAATAAGGTGGCATTACTAAGTATATCAATAATTACTCTCCTAATGGAGTGAATTTTCCAGTCAAAAGACCTACAGTGGCTTAGTGATCAAAAAGCAAGATCTAACCAAAGGCTGCCTACAAGAGACTCACCTCAGCTCTAAGGACACACAGAGGTACAAAGTGAAGGGATGGCAAAAGATATTCCATGCAGGTGGAAACCAGAGAGAGCAGGGTTAGCTATACTAATGTCGGACAAAACACACTTTAAGCCAAAATGGTAATAGGAGACAGAGATGGTCATCAGGCAATGACGAGGGGGTCAATTTTTCAGGAAGATATAACAATCATAAATATGCACTCCCCACTGGAGCACCGAAATATATTAAGCAAATTCTTAAAAAACCGAAAGAAGAAATAGACAATAATATGATAAAACAAGGAGACTACAATACCCCAATTTCTTAAGATGTTATTTATTTATTGGACAGAGAGAGTGAGCAGAAGCAGGGAGAGTGGCAGGTAGAGGGAGAGGGAGAAGCAGGCTCCCCACTGAGTAGGGAGCCCAACATGGGGCTCTATCCCAGGACCCTGGGATCATGACCTGAGCTAAGACAGACACGTAACCGACTAAGCCACTCAGGCGACTCCAAAAGCCCACTCTCAATATTGGATGGGTCCTCCAGACAGAACATCAACAAGGAAATATTGGACTTGAGCCATACTGTAGGCAAAATGGTCTTAAATGGATATATATCGAACATTTCATCCAATAGCAGCAGAATACACATTCTTCACAGGTGCACACAGAGCATTCACCAAGGTAGATCACAAAACAACCCTTAGCAAACATAAGAACATTAAAATCATACTATCTTTTCCGACTACAAGCCTATGAAATATCACTAAGAGGCAAAAAGTTAGAACATTCACCAGTATGTGGAAATTAAACAACATGCTTCTTGATAACACTTGGGTCAAAAGGAAATCAAAAGGGGAAATCCAGAAGCAAATGCAAATGGAATCACAGCATATCAAAGCATATAGGTTGCAGCTAAAGCCGTTCTAAGAGGGAAACTTACAGTGACAAACACCTACATTAAGAAGCAAGAATGACCTCAACCTAACTTTTCACTTCAAGGAGCTAGGAAAAAGAAGAACAAACTAAACACAAAGTCAAGAGAAGGGAGAAAGTAACAAAGATGCGAGAGGAAATAAATGTACCAGAGACCAGAGGAAAGGATGGACAAGATAAGTGAAACTAAGAGCTTTTTATTTGAAAAGAGAAATAAATCGGTGAAACTTTTGCTAGGCTAACTCTGAAAAACAGAGAGAGGACTCAAATGAATAAAATCAGTAATCAAAGAGGAGACATTACAACTGACACCACGGAAATACAAAGGACCATGAGAGATTGCTACAAATGGTTATATGACAACAAATGGATCACCTAAAAGAAATGGATAAATTCCCAAAACACACAACCCACTAAGACTGAATCATGAAGAAACAGAATGTGACAGGCCAATATCAAGTACAGAGATTGAATCATTACACAAAACCTGCCAAAGCAGAAAATCCCAGGAACAGATGTGTCCCTGGTGACTTCTACCTAAACATTTAAAGAACCAGCACCAACACTTCACAAATTCTTCCCAACAACTGGAGAGGAAGAAATCCTCCCAAACTCAGTTTACAAGGTCAGCATTACTCTGACCCCAAAACCGGATCAGACCACTATAAGGAAAGAGAATGACAGACTAATATCCCTGATGAATATAGACACAGATATCCTCAATAAAAGAAAAACCATTAGCAAACGGAATCCAAGAGCAGATTAAAAAAACATCATTCACCAGGATCAAGTGGAATTTATCTCTGTGATGCAAGGATGGTACAACATAGGCAAATCAATAATTGTGATACACAGCATTAAGCAGACAAAGGATTAAATCATATAATTGTCTTAGTAGATGCAGCAAAAAGTATTTGATAAAACTTAATACCCTTTTCTGATTTAAAAAAAAATAAAACCTCTCAGGAAGTGGGGATGGAGTGGACACACCTCAACATATTAAAGGCCATGTGTGACAAGCCCACAGCCAACGTCATACTTAATGGTGAAAAGCTGAAAGCAATTTCTCCGAGATCAGAAACAAGATAAGGACGCCCAATTTCCCACTTTTATTCTACAAAATATTGAAAGTTCTAGCCAGAGCATTTAGGCAAGTAAAAAAATGAAAAGGCATCCAAATTGTAAGGGAAGAAGTGGAACTGTCACTTTTTGCAGAGGACGTAATATCACATATAAAAAACACTAGAGACTCCACCAAAACATTGTTAGAACTAATAAATGCATTCAGTAAAGTTGCAGGAAAATCAAACTGCAAAAATCTGTTGCATTTCTCCATACTGCAAATGACTTATAAGAAAGAGAAATCAAGAAACCAATCCATTTACACTCGTATCATAAGGAAGAAAATAACCGGGATTAAATTTAACCAAGGAGGCAAAAGACCTGTG